TCTCTCCCTCTCTCCCTCTCTCCCTCTCTCCCTCTCTCCCTCTCTCCTACCCCACGTGCTGTCATTATTCTTTCCCTATCTGAAATTGCAGTTTCCTCTTTGATATTGACCAATTCAATACTTTAATGTCATTTTTTTTTAAAAAGCAATATTTCTTACTTCCCTCTTCTGATGTTTTGATGTTGCATCAAAGATTGGTAGCAATGTTTTGGGCTACAAGTTAAAAGTAGAAGCAATTGGCGAAAAGCATTTCCAGTAAATTCTGCTTTTTTTTAAAAATCTGTCATGGGATATGGTCAGTCCAACATTGATTGCCCATCCCTAATTTTTTTTTGAGTTCAGTGGCTTGCAAGCCCATTTCAGAGGGTAGTTAAGAGTGAACCACATTGCTGTGGGTCTGGAATTACATGTAGGTCAGATAGTGTAGGAATGGCAGACTTCTTTCCCTAAAGGGCATTGGTGAGCCTGAATTGATGCTGATTTCACAGTCGTCATTACTGAGACTGGCTTTTAATTCTAGATTTTTATTTATTGAATCTGCCATATTGGAGTTTGAGCCTTTGTTCCTAGGACATCAGATTGGATCTCAGGATTATTAACCCAGTGACATAACCACTACACCTGTATTTCCCTCCATTGAGTATATCTTTCTTGTTTTCTCAATGTGTCAGGAATCAGTGGGATGAATAACGCTGAAATTAAATATAGTTCTGGGGTACTCACAATTTCTTGGGAAACTATGATACTGGGCTGTGTTTCCCAGCATAAACATTGACAGGCTCTGTCACTCCTGACAGCACCCTCAGTTATTTAATGCTGGGAAAAAGGATTAATTTCTCTGAGAGCCTGCCACTCCCTCTCTTGGGAGAAGTCCTACCTTCAAGAGCTGCCAACCAAGCAGATGGTGGGCAGCCCTACCACTGGGAGACACAGCTGAGTCTTTGGGCAGTGCCCAATGCTGAGGATCCCAGGGCGACTCCTGAGTGCAAAGTTGGAGGGACACAGTGAAGTGGGGGGGAGGGGTGTGGTTGAGGGATAAGAGTTGGAGGAGATGGGGTTTGCAAGGGATGGCTGCTTTCAAGCAGCTGAGGGGTGGAGAATCTAGGACCAGACGGCATAATCTCAGAATAAGGGGTCGCACATTTACGGCAGAGATGGGGAGGAATTTGTTCTGAGGGTAGCGAATCTGTGGAATTCCTTACTGCAGAGAGCTGTCGAGACTGGATCATTAAGTACGTTAAAGGCCGAGATAGATGGATTTTTAATCCGTAATGGAATCAAGGGTTATGTGGATAAGGCAGGAAAGTGGAGTTGGGGATTATTGGATCAGCCATGATCTCATTGGATGGTGGAGCAGGCTCGATGGGCCGACTGGACTATTTCTGTTCCTATGTCTTATGAGTAAGTAGAGGGTGACCTGGAGGGTGGGGAAGGAAATACCTCTGCTGGGTTGTGAGGGCACCAAAGGAGGTCCCAACACAAGCTCAAAGTTAAAATTACTTGGCTTCCCATGTGGTGTGCAGTTTGAATGCAATGGAGTGAGATAGAACTTGTGTTCAGAGACAGCTCACTTCCTGTCTGATAGGAAGTCAGTTTCGACAACCCACCATGTTTTTGATTGTCAACCTACTGTAGTTAAAATAGAGTTGATACCTAGTCGGTCTGTCTGGATTTGACTTGTGTACAATTTGTGTTCTAAGGTGTTGCTGAAATTACTGTGTGAAGTCTGGCATACTGCTGCATAAAAACTTATCAGTACCTTTCTTTCAAATCAGATAAATACATATCTCATGAGGAGAAAACAAGTGCTGTCTTGGGAAGATTGATTGACAGTGGCAAGAAACTTTTCCTAATAACCAACAGCCCTTTCAGTTTTGTGTAAGTGACTTTCCTGATTTTGATGATGTCATGTGAAGATGGTGATCTGCATTAAATAGAGAAATGCATGGATTTCATTGGCTCAAGAAAGCATTCACCATTACCTGGCCTTGGGCAATTAGGAATTGGCATTAAATTCTGTCCTGGCCAGTGACACCTACATCTTATGAATGAATAAATAATTGTTAAAAATGCCTATGTAGAGCAAAATGTGTTTTTCAAGAAATGTGCACTGGCAGTGATTAAAATAAGACTGGTGATTTATTTTTCATGGTTGTGTTCCTGTTGTGACAGTGATAAAGGAATGCAGTACATGGTTGGCAAAGATTGGCGAGACCTATTTGACATCATCATTGTTCAGGCTGAGAAGCCAGCATTCTTCAATGACAACCGAAGGTCAGTGCAATAGGATTTCAGTGGAATGGTTTCATTGCTGTGTTTTCAGTGGGAGTGAAAATTGATCTTTAGCACTGTTTGAAAATTTATCTCTGAAGTTCTCTGACTTTTCCACAGACCGTTCAGGAGAGCAAATCAAAGAGATCAATTGCACTGGGACAAAATCAGCAAATTAGAGAAAGGAAAGATCTACAAACAGGTAAATCCCTTCGTTCTGAGATAGTAGGAACTGCAGATGCTGGAGAATCTGAGATAAGAAGGTGTAGGGCTGGATGAACACAGCAGGCCAAGCAGCATCATAGGAGCAGGAAGGCTGACGTTTCGGGCCTAGACTCTTCATCAGAAATAGGGGAGGGGAAGGGGGTTCTGAAATAAATAGGGAGAGAGGGAGAGAGGGGGAGGCGGATAGAAGATCGATAGAGGAGAAGATAGGTGGAGAGGAAACAGACAGGTCAAAGAGGCGGGGATGGAGCCAGTAAAGGTGAGTGTAGGTAGGGAGGAGATAGGTCAGTCCAGGGAGGACGAACAGGTCAAGGGGGAGAGATGAGGTTAGTAGGTAGGAGATGGGGGTGCGGCTTGAGGTGGGAGGAGGGG